ACAGGGCGAGCAATAAGAATCCCCACGATACTGGAGAGCAGGTCGGGGAGGCGAGCATGCAGAGGATGAGAATTTATCTCGTCACGCCGGATCGCAAGAGCGGGAGAGTTGAATTCAAACCAGAAGTTCAGATATGCGATGAAACAGCGGACAAAGCGGTGTGATCACATCCCTTGTTATGTACCCTCCTCCTCCTCCTCCTCCTCCTCCCCTCCCCTCACTCCCCCCCTTCTCCTCCTCCTACTGCTTGTCCTGCTGCTGCTGTCTCCCCCTGCTGCTTCGCCTGGTCCTCCTAACAAACCTTTCGATCAGCCCACGAAAGATGCAGAGGAGAAGGAATGCTCAGGCCCGACGCAGGATATGAGCTCGGAGCCTCGTGGGGCATGCCGAGATGTCGTCTGGACGTCACAGACGAGCGTAGAACTTCCTCCCTCCTCCCTCCTCTGCATCCTCCTTCCCTTGGCGTACGCCGACTGCGATGGAAAGCATGTCGCTGTGTCGGGTAAGAGAGCAGGTGAGGGAGAAGGGGGGGGGATGTAGTGTGCGAGCAAATGTGAGGAGAGGAGGAGAGGTGAAGTGCAGGAGGAGGAGGAGGAAGAGGAGGAGGAGGAGAGGGAGAGCAGGAGAGCAGGAGAGTAGGAGTAGAGCAGGAGGGGTAGAGAAGGAGAGGAGCAGGAGAGGAGCAGGAGGAGAAAGAGTTTGACTGTCAACTGATGTCGTACAGGCAACGGGAGGAGGAGGAGGGTGTGCCTGATGGAGGGTTCGATCACTTTTCATCAGTGAGGTAAACGTTCACCTTCTTCGTTCACCTTCTCCGTTCATCAACCTTTGAAAGGGGCGAAAACAAACTGACTTGAGAGATGTCATTTTGCTTTTTCCTTTCATACATGTTGCAATGAGTATCAAAGAGCGCAGCTCAAGTTGGTGTGTGCTCTGATTAAGCTTTGCGATATCATGCTCGAAAGCATGCCGTAGAGGCGAGGAGGAGGGTGGGAGATAGGAGGGAGGAGGGAGGAGGGAGGAGGGAGGAGGGAGGAGCAGGAGCAGGAGCAGGAGCAGGAGAATTGACTTTCATTCTGGCAGGTGAGACAGCGAGGGATGTATCAAACAACTTCATTAACTTGGAGACATCTATCATACACACACTTGACAACTAAAAACACCCTCCTCTTCCCATCTTCCATCTTCCAATGATTCTACCGCTCCCCTGCTCCTGCTCCCGCTCCTGCTCCCGCTCCCGCTCCTACTCGTGTCCTTCACTCTCTCATGTCCTAATCCTCCTGCATCCCTCCTTCCTCCTCACAGCCTCGTTGCCTCTGGGAGGATCTCCTTCCCCTCCCCCCCGCTGCGGAACAGCTTCTTTACCTCCTCCTCCACCACCACTCGATCCCAAATCTCAAGGCTATCCAGGACCCCTTGGAAGCCCAAAGACGACCCGTCCTTCCTCCTCGTGCAGTTGCAGGAGCCCAGCAGGATGGGGCCAGACGTTTCGGGCAAGGAAGGGACCTGAGACATGTGAGGGGAGGTTCAGGAGCAGGAGCACGAGTAGGGGCAGAATCAGGAGCAGGGGCATTAGCATTAGCAGGAGCAGGAGCAGGAGCAGGAGCAGGAGCAGGGGCATTAGCAGGAGCAGGAGCAGGAGCAGAAGAAGGAGCAAGGGCAGGAGCAGGAGCAGGAGGGGTTTCACCGAAAAGAAGGAGGAGACGTGCCGGCCGTCGAGGTAGAGGGAGAGGACGGAGGTGCTGCGAGAGAAGCTGACGACCAAGAGGTGGAAGGAGGAGGAGGAGAGGCCAGGCGACGGCCCATTGAACTGCCAACGAGACCATGAACGGAGGACGAGGACGAGGACGAGGACGAGGACAAGGAGGGGGGAGGAACGAGAAGCATCATGTTGAGCAGAAGGGGAAAGGGATGAAAGAATAGGAGGAGATAATGACCAGAACAAAGGAGGGAGGAGAGAAGAAGAACGAGGACAAAGACAACGGGTAAGAGGAGCATGAGGAGGACGAGGACGAGGACGAGGACGAGGACGAGGACGGGGGCGAGGACGAGGACGGGGACGGGGATAGGGGATCCAAACCGCGGCAACTGTTTCTTGTGAGTAGTTGATCGCCATCAGAACAAGGAAGACGCTTCCTCCCTCTAGCACGATCGCCAAGTTCGCGTCCTCGAGAAAGGACGAAGAGACGGAGGGGATGGCTGCGATGACCTGACCAGCTCCGTCAAGGCAACCGAACAATGCTCCCAACTCCCTTGTCGATCCTCCATTCCAACCAGAACCACCACGTCCTCCAACTCTTGCTCTTCCTCCTTACCCCAACTCGTGTCCCCTCTTCTCTTCTCTCCTCCTCCTCCCCTTCCGCCACCACCATCTCCTCCTCCTCCTCCTCCTTCCTCCTTCCTCCTGCTCTTCCTCCTGCTCCTGCTCCTCCTCTTTCCTCTCCTCTACACCTGCGCGACTGCGGTATCCTCGCTAGCAAACCAGACAGACAACGACCAGTCGCTGATCCCATCGACCTGCGGATTTAGCACGGAGAGGGAAGGGAGACAGAACCTGCTGGTTCCTCAGAGCTGCCTCTTCCCTCACCCTCCCTCCCTCCTCCCTCCTCCCTCCCACCACCTCCTCCTCCCTCCTCCCTCCTCCTTCCTCCCTCCTCCCTCCTCCCTCACTCACTCTGGCAAGCATACTCCTCCTCCCGTCTCGTTCAGCAGCGCCTCACAGCTTCTTCTCTCGCACTCGCGCAGCACGTTGGGCAGCTCAAGGAACCCGGACAAGTTTGCGCCTCCGAGCTGGAGCCCAGCTCCGAACACCTGCTCAACGGTCAGCTGACCGTTGAAGTCGAGGCTACTCCTACTCCTCTTCCTGCTCCGACTGCGCCATGGACTCGAGCATGCATGAAGTAGCCGCTGCTGTCGAAGGGGAGGGAGGGGAGAAGCGAAGAAAGAGTCGGAGGTGAGAGAAGATGCTCGGGGAGGGAGGAGGAAGGAAGGTGAGGAGGGGAGGGGAGACCTGCGGCAGACCAGACGTCATACTTTGACTCCTGCAGGGGTGGGAGAGCAGCTGGAGAGGTAGGAGACGCACGCGCGTGTCAAACTCACCGGCAGGATGGAGATGTCGACCGACGGGTTCACAAAGAGCTGAGAAACGTCAAAGATTGTACCCAGCTGGGAAGGGAGGGTGAAAGGGAGAGATGAGTTGGTGATGTTCAATAGCTGCTTGTCCAAGACCCCAGCTCTCCCCCTGCCGACGTGTCAAACTGATTTTAAACTGCGATATTCCAGTTCGCTGACCATCCAAGTTGATTCCGGACAAAGACGCGCAAGAAAGTGTCTGTTCCAGCTGAGATGTTGGGGAATCTCGCGACGAAGAGAGTTGAGTTGAAGGCTCTGCTGGGTTTCTGGTCGTGCTGGAGCTCAGCTCTCGACCATGCGATCACGTCCCCCAAGTTTGCCTCGACGACGACACAGCCATAAAACTCCTGCAAGAATGCAGGTGTCAAAGTAGCAAACGGGAGGGGAGCAGGCCGAGGACGAGAGGAGGGGAGGAGGAGGAGCGAGAGGAGGAGGAAGAGGAGAAGAAAAGGGGGGAGGGCGGGAGGACGGAGGGAGGAGGCAGAAGAAGGAAGAGGCAGGAAGGGGGAAGGGCATCAGTGAGGATTGTAACCGAAGAGAACCAAGCTAGGGAGACAAACTGACCAGATGACTACAAGCTTCTGCACGAAAGCCCAGCAGATCAGGCGCGAAAGGATTCTTTTCTCCTCCTCCATTGTCGCCGGGGCCAAGGAAAGCGACGCATAGGAATGCAGGCATGCAGGTCCAGGAGGCGACAAGTGAAGGAGCGCTGGGGACTGAGAGGACGGGAATTTCCGTCGGAGATCTCCCTCCTGCTACCCAGGGGATGCCGAAGCCGACGATGTTGGCGGCGCTGACTCTGAGGAAGACGCCTTGCAAGGGGAGGCGGTAGAGCAAGACGGAAGTGACGTTCCCCGCCACCTCTTTGACTGCCACCAGCCGCTGAAACGTCGAGTCGAGACTTGCCTCTACCCGATACCTCAGGACAGCCTCCTGATGTGTGTCGTCAGTATGGCCAGGGAGGAGAGGGGGAGGAGCAGGAGCAGGAGCAGGAGCAGGAGCAGGAGCAGGAGGTAGTGAATGGATCTTCTACATCATAACCACGTGTCAACTCACCGACGTGTCCCATGCTCCTGTGTCCAACGGCGGTCCCCAGTCGACCTGCAGCGTCCTGACGTCCACGGGAAGGACGGCAGCGATGGAGGAGGGAGGGCCAGGGACGCTGAGGCTCCTCACAGCAAGTGGCATGTTGCTCCCTGGCTCCACGAACACCGAGAAATCGCTCCACCCTATGGCGTTTGCTGCGCGTGCTCTGATGAAGTAGGAGGAGCCCTTGAGAGCATGCAGGCGCTGGGAGTGAGAAGTCCCGTCCTCTGAGCGAGAGAAGCTGATGATGGTCGTGAAGTCAGGAGTCTGCGAGAGTTGTACCTCGAAGTTGTTCAACTTCACATCCACTCCGCCTCCTCCTCCTCGGTTCGCAGGAGGGGAGTAGGTCACGGTCAGGATGCCGGAGGATGATGGGGTGACGGTGAGGATTGTCGGGGGGTCGGGTCGGGTCGAGAATGTCGCGCTGGCATGCTGGCTCAGAGGACCGCATCCTTCTTGGTTACAAGCTTGTATCCTGTAAGAGCAGGTCGAGTTTTCCCTCTGATTATCCACAAACTCTGGCTCGACCACCCGGAAAGTCTCCTGTCCTGATGACGAGCTGCAGTTCCTGTGGACATTCCAAAACAGGATGCCGTCGACCTCCGTCCAACGAGCTACGATCGCTCTGTTGTATGCAGGATCCAAGAGGACGGTGATATTCTCAGGCACAGATGGGATGCTGGCATGAGAGAGAGCGAAGAGGAGGAGACACAAGGAGAAGGTGTGTTTCATGCCGACCTCAGCAACGACCCGAGGGAGGGAGGGAGGGAGGTACAGTTCTACAGGGATCTTGTCATGCGGGGCTCATCATGTACGGACATACATCAGATAGAGCTTTATCATGACATGTGATCATCATGATAGACATCAAACAACACATCTCAACAGCACAAGTCTGCTCCCTGTCTTTTGTTTGCTCTATCCTTCTCTACTAGTTTATTTTGCTGTTATTTAAAGCTCGCCTCAGTTCAATTTATATAGAAATAAAAGGACAGCAAACACAATATAGCAGTAGTCAGACAGTGTTGAAGTTGGTGACCGTTAGCACAGCAAAGAGGGCGCAAGCTTGCAATCATGGCAAGACGAGGAGGAGGAGGACCAGGGAGAGGACGGGGACGGGGACGAGGACGAGGACGAGGACGAGGACGAGTCCAGGAGGGGAGGGTTCGAGGAGACGATAGTAGAGAGATGATGTAAGACGGTGGATAAGTTGGAAGAGTCCAAGAGAGCTGCTGTTGTGAAGCAGGAAAGTTTGCCGGCGGCCGAGGGACAAGAGTCGGCGAAGGGAGGGAAGCATGAGCGGGCTGAATGAGAGTCTTCTTGACAGCAACCATGTCGAGATTGTCGGCGTCCAGGAGCAGGGGAGAGCTCATGCTCCTGATGATGCAGAGGAGCTGCTGCATATGGCGGCAGTTCCGCCCCTTGTCAGGAACGAATCCATGGAGTCAAGGAAATCGATCAAGCAGAGCGTCTCCGGCGTCTACGGAAGACTCGAGCGGCTCGACGTGGATCCAATCAATCAGCCATACTACGTCGACGCGCACAGGAAGTTAGAGAGAGGATACAACCCTAACGGGCAGATAGTTTTCACAAGCAAGGTCTTCTACCGATGGATTCTTACCGTTCTGATCGGCATGGCGATTGCCATCGTCGCAAGGGGCGTCCAGGTAGCGATTCAAGTGCTGGTGGACCAGAGGAACGACCAGGTGGAGATGTACGTGAAGCAAGGTTCAAGCATGTTCCAGTCCTTCGTCTTCTTCGCTGTGTGGAACAGCTGCTTTGCCCTTGTTGGAGGGCTCCTCACCATCACCCTCGAGCCCGCAACGGCAGCCGATGGCATTGCTGAGATCAAAGCCTTCATGAACGGCACGCACGTGAAGCGCTTCTTGAAGCTCCGCACCATCCTGGTAAAGATCGTGGGAACGATCCTGGCGGCCTGCAGCGGGCTAGCCAGCGGCTCGGAGGGACCTTTGATCCACATCGGGGCAGGGATAGCGTCAGGAGTGACGAGAGGAGATAAAGTTCAGAGCCTCTGCTTCGAGTTCTCCCCTGCTATCCTCGGGAGGTTCCACAACGACAGAGATCGGCGGCACTTCATCAGCGCTGGGGCAGGAGCAGGCATGGCGGCAGCGTTCGGGGCTCCGATCGGGGGAGTTCTCTTCGTGCTCGAGGAGACTTCGAACGCGTGGACTCCGCAGCTGATCTGGCACATGTTTACAGCTGCCCTGGTCGCTACAGTCTCTCTCGCGTTCATCAAGGCAGACTTGAACTCAGGGGACGTTAGCCTGGCCGGGTTGCTGTCGTTCGGAACGACCAACACGGTGCAGAGGCTGAGGGATGGAGGGATTCTTGCGGACAGCAGCGTGGAGGCTCCGATCTACTGGTGGGAGATCATCATGTTTGTTGTCGTTGGTATCTTCGGGGGGATCGTAGGAGGGGTGTTCAACAGGGCTGTCAGCCTCCTCAGCCTCGTCCGGCCCAGGAACAACCTCCTGCGTGCCCTCGAGGTCTTCAGCATCTCCCTCATCACCTCCGCGTCCATCTTCTACCTCGTCGTCCTCAACCCTGTCTGCCGGGACAACGGGCTGTGGACCTGCAAGGAGGCAGGTAACTGGGGCGACTGGTGCAGCGGGCCGTTGGATCTGGACACATGTAAAGGTCCCACTTCCTCTTGCGCCAACGCATCGGCCTGGATATGCCATGGAGGGTCGTCGTCGGGGAGGAGCTGCAGGGACTCTGACTGTGAGCAGCTCGGGGGGAAGTGCCTGCCTCTGCAGATCCCTTCGATCAATCGCGGGATGCAGATGGGATGCGATGTGGGACAGTACAACGAGCTCGCGACTCTCCTCTTCGGCCACCACGAGCTTTCCATCTCCCGCATGATGACGCAGGCCTGGCCCTTCTCGCCATACAGCATCGCGAGCATGCTGAAAGCTGCTGCCGTGACGTTTGTGCTGATGCTCGTCACGTTCGGAGCACACATCCCTACAGGAATCTTCATGCCCTGCGTCTTCATCGGCTCCTGTCTCGGGCGGGTGGTGGGAGAGTATGTGAAGCTCTACGTGGATCCGCGGGTCTTTGCGGGGATCTACGCGCTCGCTGGAGCTTCTGCTGTGCTGGGGGGGGTGCAGAGGGGAACGATATCGCTAGTGATCATTATGATCGAGGGCACCGGCAACGTTCACAGCCTCCTGCCTGTCGTCGTGTCAACCTGTGTGGCCAACTTGGTCGGGAACTTTTTCGGCAAGGAAGGGCTGTACGATGTTCTGATCAAGAGGAAGAAGCTTCGCTTCCTCCCGCACGTGCCGGACTCGTTCATGTCCCTTTGCTTCGTCGGAGATGTCATGAGTCGGCCGGTGGTCTCCTTCAAGGTCATCGAGAAGATCGGAGACATCGTTGACGTGCTGCGGTCCTGCAGCCACAACGGCTTCCCTGTGGTGAGTGTGGAGGACGAGAAGGACCCATCCTCTACTCCCGCAGGCCGCATGGAGGGCACGATCCTCCGCTCGACCCTCCGCACGCTGCTGTCGGCCAGGTCCTTGATCCATCACCGCAAACCTCGCTTCCTCTACTTGTTCATCTCCCCTTCTTTGACAGTGTCCGTGTCTCTCTTCTGCTTCTTGTTCTTGTCTTCCTTCTGAACGACTATCTCGTCAGGTTCCAGCGAGACGCAGCAAAGGCCCAGTCGATGTGGCAGAGGATCACGAGTGAAAGGAAGGAAGACTTGAATCTGAACGGTGACAAAGAGATGGTGAGTTGGTGTGCGATCAGTCCGCGAGGGCCTGAGGTCTTGTGCAGTACATTCAGATGGAAACTAGCAGGCTGACAGGAACCAAGATCAGCCACAGTGTTAAGGTCAGCCTCCCCTCCTGCTGTTTTTCCTCCTTTTCCGCTTCCAATCCTACCTTCCTTCACTTCCAACGCCCTCTCTTCTTCCTTCCTCTTCCCTCTTTCTTTCTCTCCCCTGCCCTCCTTTCCCTCCCTCCCCCCTCCCTCCCTTCCCCCTCCCCCTCCTCTCCCTCCGTTTCCTCTCCTCTCCTCCTCCCTGCCCTCCTTTCGGATCTCAACAAGATTGTC